TTCGTGTTAAGCTTTTGGCTTGACCGACTTGTCGATTCCATTCGCCACACCCAAACTTCCCTTTTATGAGCGGTGTTCTGTTAGGAAACCGAACTATTTGGACCCTAATGTCCCCCACCCCCACATCCCACAGCTTGTTATGTTAAATTGTGTAAGGTATTCCAACTTCATGTGTAACTTCTGTCCCACAGTATTACGAAGTAGTAACAGACCAGCCTACAAAAAAGTTTGGAGGAATTCCCTGAAAATTGTTAAAGAAGGCAACTAAACGTCCTAAAATATAATGACCACAGGTTTCCAGCTGAAGCTCAAACTTTCATGCAATTTTCATGCGAAAAGTGCAGGGCAAGTGTATGTGTAAAGATGTATTAAAACAATACCAACGTTATTATTAACGGTGGCATACATTCATCGGAGGTGAACTCTTCAAAGCTCATTTCTGTCACATGTGAAGTCTTTGGAAAAACTTAGTGATGGGCAGTTAACGGGCACTGTCTTGCTATGAACCCGTTGACTACAACGCACAAAGTGATCGCAAAAAACTTCATTGCAGCGAAGATACACCAGTCGTTGTTACTGAAGCCCAACTTTGGTAGAGCTGAGGTCAACTAAAGCTAAGCTGACCACATTCGTAATGTGGCGAAACGCTTGGTGTAGGGTTTGCCTTTCAGAACAAGCATTCGTATATAACGTGCCGAACATTGGCTGCTGACCTAACAGCGTCAGCCGAATCCCAAGGCGCTAGAAATCGTTGCAATTGCATGACACAGTAAAGACCCTTTCGTGCTTTTTTGTTAGAGGCCCGAGGCTGGAAGGGTTCGTAAAAACTTTCACAATAATCGGATGGTGGTTCGGAGTACAAACAATAAAGTTTTCTCAGTACGGAATCGGATTTCAAATCCGTCGCAGCATTTTTCAAATTTTGTGTGTATTATAAATCCAATTTCATTCCTGAACGTGTATTCTGAAGTAACAATGCTGCACCAAAATATTAGTTCGTTACCCGATTTCGTTTTCTCTGGAGACCATACCGCAAAAAGTCAGGTTTCGAGTAAAAGTATGCTAGGTTTGTGGCCTTCTATGAGTAGCACGCAAAACGACGCTTGGCATAAAGTCTCCACGAGACCACTAAATCATTGACGTCAATATCATGCTTAGGCTGCGGTAATAGGGGTGCAAGGTTATGTTTAACAGGGAAAAAACGCGGCATATATGATAGGGTCTAGCCCCATGATCTAAAGCTACCCACCATTTGAGGAAATGATTTTAAGGCCGTGGCGATCAAGTTGCCCCGCTGTGTCCGCCATGCCCTTTGGTACTATGCAGAAGGACCATGGAAGACCAGACTCGTGTGATGGTCATCTTTAATGGCGCTCTTTGTAACATTCCAGTCAAAAACATTGGGGGGCCAAGCCAACATTGGGGACCAATTCAACATTGGGGCCGGAGAGCCCTAAAAAAAAGAATACAAATCGACACCCGGTGCTCATTGATACGTCAGGTACTGTACCTACAAACGATCGTGGAGCTGCTAGTCTGTTCGCAAGTGCGTGGGTACCGCCAATGATTCTGGGACTGTTCGCAACAGATAACCCCTAGTTCGTCCCAGATCATGGTACCATCACCTCTTCCCGTAAATCTACCTGCGCCCCCAGGGCTGCACACCCGTAATGGACACCTGTCGTATTAATATAATCTAACTTATCTCACCTGTCGTACTTAACGAATTCCGCCTGTCGTACTTAAACGAATCTCACCTGTCATACCTTTCCCGCCGACTCGCAACGCTTCTGGCCTCTTATGACGTTAAGCGCTGTCATGTCCCTCGAACTCAATCACAACTGAATATTTTTTTCGGCGCGAAACGGTGTTTGTAATAATAACTAGAACAAACGGTTAGAAAATGTTCTCACACCACCTTGGTGCTTATTAACTAACCTCAGTGATCGGTGCACTCTGAAAAATCATCCCTCCAGACATTGGTGTTGTATATACATATATGTAAATGCACTGCCCTACCTAATGGACATGTGGCTGGCTATGGTATCAAATTTCACGCCAAAAAGTGGTTCAGTACCGACCGAACAAAAAATGTCATCATAAGTCAAGGCATTCGAATTTCTTAAAGACAATTGGATTCAGTAGGCGCATCTCCGTCAGCTAGCTTAAACCTTACGATAGGCAAATGCGCAGATGCAAATGCGTTTATCTTTCAAAAAAGTGATGTCCCGAAAAGCGTCGCCCGTAATGCTTAGATGCATATGTACACTCGTGAAGGTGATGGTAAGTTTTCTTTGATGCGTGTCTCGGTGACGGTGACATCAATTGTGCATATCTAGTAATAGTCTCCGTAATAACGTGTGGAATTAGGAATGAAGTTATGTAACGGGAAATACGTGCAACCCAGAAATTAGAATGCGAGTGTGGAAAATCACATGGTTCTACTCAGCAATATGTGGTTTGTGGTGATATCCATTCCGTATGTACATTGTCGTACGGATATTATGTACCTTATGGGTCTGTAAGTGCGGGTCTCGCTGTCTGTTGCACATTGTTTCTTCCTGCATAGGATGTCCTTAAAGATGCTTCCAAAAATGATGATACCTATGTTGTTGATAATTGCAAACCGTAGGAGGCAACAAGTTTGCTTCCCCAATTTGATCCCTCCTAGTATGATTCTCAATGTGAGCCCGCCTCCAAAGACCAACCCACGCGACAAGTCATGATCTGTCTGTGGTCAGGCGCCGATCGGCCACGGCCGCTTTGTGAACCTTTCTCGCCGACCAGTTACGAAGACCGTCATAGCGCGCCAAACTGCACGCGCTAAACTGCACGCGTTTGATGGTGGGCAGGTTGGTGCGAACGAAAATAGCGTGATGGATCAGCTGAACGGCCAAGGCACACCGATGGCCCTAACCACGTAAACCAGATTGCGGCGGACCCCGACTTCGCTAAGGCCGAGGGCGATATGATGATGCCCAGGGTATATAAAATGGATGTGAATAACTGCAGTTATGCATATGCAAAGTTGACGTCATCGTGCCGCTAAGCTTTTAGTAGCGGAGATAGGGACACCGTTTGCTCAGGTCAAGGGCAGCGGAGAGCACACTGTGCGATGCTTATTACAAATGCTCTTGAAGCTGGATTCGCGGAAGAGTAAGCGTTAGGCACTAGCAGCGGACTGCATGCAGCGACACAGCGACAAATGGCACAGCATCATGATAGTGTCGGCATTTAACGCGATACATCACGAGAGAGTGAGCCAATGGTGCGCAGGGGCGGATTCAAAATTTCTTCAGGGGGTGAGGGAGGGCACGCAATATTGCGCGGACCCCTAGAGTTAGGGCCCTTCCAAAAAATCCTCGCATTCCGGCCATCAAATTCTCAGATTTGTTATATGTCACTGTCCATACCGAAACCCATCTTACTGTGCGCAACCCTAGAAAACTAGGCGCACTACACATGCGCATACATGGACTTGTTCATTTTCTCCAGATCATGGTGAATCCTCCCATTCTGAATGCTATTTTTTCGAAAAGCATGACACAAAATAAATTTAAGTTGGCTGGCAAATGTCCTTAAAATAAAAAAAACGAACTTGATTCCTCGATTATTTCGCTGGCCGGCTAGTTGATGTAGTGCCTTGCTGGCTGATGAATGATACAGAGTTTTTGCTCTGCTGTGAAGGAGGATGAAATATGCTAGCATTTAAAATGCATCAAGAACGTAATGCATGGGTATAATAGGTGTCACAAGTTCGAAAACAAACGGATATGACACATACGACTTTGGCAGCACGGCAAATTATCTCCGACAATTGGGCGTAACAATTCATCGGCGCATATCCGACCGTGCTCTAAGGCTAAGTCACCACGGCCGGTAGGGACGGAACTGAACAATCGGGATGCCGTGGCAGGCCACCAAAGAGCCTTCCATCAACAAGTGTAGGGTCCTCCGAGCAAGCGAA